TGGAGCACTTATATATATCATGGATGCATGGGAATGGGACTGCAGCGATCTGGGAGCACACCACCAGCAGGTGAAACTGGAGATGGCCTTGTCTGCTTATAGTGGGAACTGCCCCAGCCATTGAGGCTGAGCTGTAAACTAGGGGAAAGTTGATCCATGTGTTTGGCATGACTTGTGAGAGCAAAGGCACCATAGAAAGTTAGGGATTCACAATAAATCTGGTCTTCCCACGAGAGGGATTGCTTCCTCTCTGCTTCCTGGGCTGTGAGAGCTGCTGGGCTTCACACGGTCTTGAGAGCAGCTCGTCTGCCCAGGGCTTTGGCAGGTACTGGCCCTGTGTGCTGGGCCTCTCAGAGGGCTTTGGGAGCTCACAAGCCTGGGGTGGAGGCCTCAAAAGTCTATTTTGGAGTCTTTTGTGGACTAGGATTTGTTGTGGACCACAACATGTAGCAGCCTTCCTGCTGAAGTCTTGATCCATGTGGGAGTGTGGAATTGTGCTAGAGGTCTGTATCAGTGTGGGTCTGGAGCTGTGATGGAGAAGGCTGTGAAAAGGAAAGGTTGTCACAGATAGGACCCCAGTGAAAGTCACAGGAGGAACTGGGGCCTCCCCATGGTTGTATGTGTGGATGTTGGGAGTCCAGAACCATGGTAGAAGCAAGAGCCAAGTCTGTACAGACCCCCCCAGCTGTGGAATGCTGAGGTGCTGGGCAGCATATTTGGGACCATGGAGGAGGGGTGGCCTTGATAGTTCTGGTGTGATTATGTGTATCTGGCAAGCAGTAAAGTGAAATCCCCCTTTAATTCCTCACCCCCACTCCAAAATTCTTACATAACTGAATACAAGAAAAAGCTAACTGGGACTGTGGCTGGAATAGGCTTCCTGGAGAGGCTGTAAAGTCTCCATCCCTTGAGACAATCAAAACCTGGCAGGCATGTTCCTGCCTCTGCTTTGACCAGGGCTGCGGCAGGACTTGTCAATCACCAGCAATCCCTTCCAACCTCACCTGTTCTGTGACTCAGATGAGGGGAATTTGGGGTTGGCTTCTACTGAAAAATAGGAATGTTCATCAACAGAAGAATTTCACCGTCAGGTGACAGTCCCATGTGTTCAGTAGTGAGGAAGTTGGGGTCAGAACTGAAGCTTTTGACCTGTTTCTTTCCTGTAGGGCACATGTGGATGCAGAGCCCCTGCCGTGAGTCTGGGGTGTTTTTTTTCTGGTCTGTTTTTTTCTGTGCCTAATTGTTGTGTCTTTCCTGTCCTCTGTGTCCACAGGACACCATGGCTGCCCAGCTGTCCATTTCCCTGCTGCGCTACACGGATCTGCTCCCTGCAGACAAGGCTTTCTATGAGGCTGGGGTAGCTGCCAAGGTAAGAGCTACCTGCCAGGAGAGCAGAGGAGGAGGCAGGGCACCCTGGGTTCAGAGATTCTCAGCTTTATCTTCCCAAATTCCCCCCTGGTTGCACTGGCAGCCAGATTCCAGCAGCTGTCCAGCCTCAGGCAGGGAGGACAGACCTCAGGCAGCCAACAGGACCTGCAGAGCCAGGGGTGGACAGAGGCCACGTTATGGCTCTGTTAGTGTGGCTGTGAGACTGCTCAGCTCTGCTCTGGGTCACCCAAGTGTCTGACAGTCTGCCCAGGTGACACATGGCGAGGACAGCAGCATGCCCTCACAGCCTGGACCTGGCTGTGCAATAATGGAATCATGGAATGGTTTGGGTGGGAAGGGACCTTAAAGCTCATCTCATCCCAACCTCTGCCATGGGTAGGGACACCTTTCACTAGACTAGGTTGCTCCAAGCCTCATCCAGCCTGTCCATAATGCCTGGCTGCATTGCCTGGGACAGCCTGTGGCCACGGGGCTGGTTGTCCCAGGGATGCATTCCTTGGGTATGGCGACCTGGGATGTGCAGTCTGTCCACTTCCTGTGCTGCAAGGGGGATGCTATCACACAAAGAGAGCCATGTCCTTCCCAGGCATGGCTCTGGGAGGAGAGCTGTGGCTGCGAGAATGAGCTGCCCAGTCTCACTCGGGGTTCCTCTGTACCAGGCAGTCAGCTGGGAGAACATGGCATTCATCTTCCTGAACCGCTTCCTGGACCTCTCAGACGTGCGTATGGTCTGCAGGGGGAGGGCTGTCCCACTAAAATGACAGTGAGCTGTAGGCCCACCACATACCCCCAGCCTGGGCAGGGCACTCCTGAGGCTCTTGTGTGGCAGCACGTTGGAGTTCATGCTGATGGAGAGCCTCAAACCCCACTCAGTGTGTGTGTGTGTGCACAGCACTGGGCACCCTCACACCACCTGTGGAAGGACCTGCCCTGGAGGGCACCTGCACAGCCCTGGGCATGCCAATGCCACCATGCACGTGGCAGCAAAGAGCATGGTGGCCTGACAGTTTAGGCCTGAAGTCCTTATGGCTGCAGGTGCTGTTACGGCTTTCAGGATGAGCTCACCTGAGTTGTTCCAAAGGAAAGAAAACTACCTAGGGGGTGGAGGCCACTGCCCAGTGCCTTGGCCACTGTGATATGAGACTTGGAACTTCCCTCAGCCCCTTCTTTGACCAGCAGATTGGTCATCAGAAACACCAAACCCAAGGGAGCAGACAGACCTCACTGTGCCACACTCCCAAGTGCTGTTGGCAGCTGCTAGGGGGAAACAAAAGCCCTGGATTACATCTTTCCTTTCTTTGAGGCCACCTGACAAGTTTGAGTAGGAGAGTGTCTGAGGGGCACTGCAGAGGGTGCCATGGATGCCAGGAGGGCCTGGTCAACAAAGTACAAACAGACAGGGGCATCCTCACCATGAATTGTACTGTGAGCTCTACAACTGGCATTGCCCAGTGCTCCACCACTTCTCCTTTCCCAGGCCATTGAAGAAGGGAACCTGGATTCCCTGGACCACTCCGATTTCCAGGGAACAGACATTCCTTTTGAAGTGCCACTTCCAGCCCAACAGCATGTGCCTGTGAGTGTCACCTGCATTCTCCAGCTCCTCTGAGCAGTGATGGTACTTCAGGGCCCTCTGAACAGGGACTGGAATGAGGCTGGGACAGTAGGGACTACTGGGGATGGAAACAGAGCCAGTCCTGGCCCTGCTCTGTGCCCCCCACCCCACTGCAAGCACACACACACACATTCTTTCCCATGCTCCCCAACATCCACACATGCACTCACCCTCTGCTGTGCAGCACCCATGTGTGTGTACATACCTGTGCACATCCTGCTATCCCCTGTGCTCCCTGGTGCTGCAGGGCTGCAGTCAGCAGCAGTGCAGCAATTCCAGGCCATGCACTGGCCTGTGCCTGCAGGAGGAGCAGCGGGAGGAGGTCAAGGACTGGGTGCTCACCATGTCCATGGACCAGCGGCTGGAGCAGGTGCTGCCACAGGACGAGCGCAACACGTATGAAGCCTCGCTGGTGGCAGCAGGAACCGGGGTGCATTCCCTGCCCTGCCTGCTCACAGGTAAGCTCCAGACCAGCTCACTCAGACAGGGGATGACGGTGCCATGCAGGGAGTAGCAACATGCTGCAGGGCAGGTCTGGGGGAGGATCCGGGCTGTGCTGTAGGAGGAGTGTGGCTGTGAGGAACCAGCTCTGCTGGAGGAGATAGAAGGACCCTTTAGTTACTGTGAGGGTGACTGAGCACTGGAACAGGTTGCACAGAAATTGTGGCATCTCCATCCTTTCCGACAGTCAAAAACCATCTGGACACAGTCCTGGGGTGGGGTGGCCCTGTCTGAGCAGTGGGTTGGACCGTACAGACCCCAGAGCCCTTCTGACCTCAGCCACTGTGTGTGATTCTGTGATGGCTCAGGCTGGCACAGCTCGCTGCCTGGGGACTCCAAGTATCCACAGATTCTTGTGCCCGGGTAGCACCTGGCCCTGCTCGGCCCTGATCTACAAAAGCTGTCACTTCTGGCAAGTTCTGTGCACTCTTCAGACAGCACTGGACTACAGTGCAGGATTTAAAAAAGGATCAGGGAAGGGAGAGCAGGGGTAAGCCACCAGGAACAGGCTTTAAAAATCAGGAGCTGGGTGCCATTGTTTGACCTACTCACTTGGGTGTCCTTGGCCAAGGGCAGTTCAGCCTTCATCTTCATTTGATCCTGCCACTTTAAGCACCCCTTCTTCATTCTGGTCTCTTGAAGCCTGAGGCAGTATCATCCCCCTCCACACTGTGCCATGGGGTAGCCCCAGCCATGGCAGAGGGAATGGATGCACCAGGTGGGGGTCTGCTGTGGGGCTCAGCTTGTTCTGAATGTGTCACTTTGTGCCCAGGATACCCTGTACTAAGAAACAAGATCGAGTTGAAGCCAGGCCGAGAAGTCAACAAGGATGCGTGGTACAAGTTCATGATGGCTGTCAAGGTGAGCCAGGACCCCGTGGGGCAGGGAGACAGGCTGTGGGTGTGGGTTCAACCCCTCTTGCTGATGATAGTCCTGCTAGGTGAGTCACTGTCCGGGGAAGGTTTATTGCACTCTCCCAATGTGCTGTTGGGTGGGGGTTAACAGCCCCAGCCCTGCCAGCCCCCAGGGTACTCTCGGGGCCCCCCAGGAGAGGGTCCCCTTGCCAGTGCCAAGACCTCTCTTATTCTGCAGACATCCCACAGCCCTGCTGGCCAGAATGTGATTGAGTTCCTCCGACGGTGGTGTGGGGGACTCCCGAGCACCAGCTTCTCATTCCAGTGAGCAGGACTACAGAAACTTTCAGGGCAGTTCTTCAGCACCCTCTCCTTCCACCCCCAATAAACGTGTATCTCAACCCTGCTGTGCTCCTGTTTGCCAGGATACTGAGCCCACAACACAGGCAGCTTCTGGGGCACAGGGCCATAAACCCTGTACATGACTCTAAACCTCCAGACCATGGCTCTGTCAACAATCCCTGTGTCTAGGGAGTGGCGAGCAGGGACACCGACTCTCCCAGCTGCTGCACAGTCCTTCCCTCAGCAGGCCAAGCTCCCAGCCAGCACTTGCCCAGAAGAGCCACTCACAGAAGCCAGTGTGGAAAGGAAAAGTTTATTTACTCAAGAAAGCCAGAGGCTCACACCAAAGGGATTCTTCACCTTCCCTGCCCTGCCTGAGCAAGGGCACAGCCAGCTGAGCTGCCCGCAGTGCCACCAGGACTTGGGCCCCAGCACCTCTGCTCACCCCAGTCACTGCTGACAGACGTGACTGCCGACAGAGCCTTCAGCATGCCAGGAAGGGCCTGGCAGCTTGGGGAAAGAAGGGGAGAGCGTCTGGGGCCCAAAGCATTTTCTGACCTGCAGTATCTGTGCCAAGTGGGGTGGTGGGGCTGGAGGAGAAGGAAGGCACACCCCTCGTCCCTGCAGCCCACCTTACCCACACCAACACCACAGCAGGGGCATGGTGCAGGTGTGATGTCACCTTGCTCTGGATCACAGCAGCTTCCCTGCAGCACCACCTAGGAAGGAAGGAGCACATGTAAGTGCAAGGCTATGCTGCAGGGCCCAGTATCACACTGATACCACTGGCCATGTGCTTGGGCAGAGGTGTTTTGAAAGGCTGGTGTGGGCAGGGGCCCTTTTGATGGCAGAGCCTGCACCCTGCTGTCCCCAAACACGGCCCATGCACTGCGCTCACCTCTCTAGCTAGGCACGAGACTCAGCCAGCCCTGCCAGGAGCTGCTGCCTCTCTCGGGGTGACCTCTCCATCACTGCACTTGGCCTGGCCAGCTACAGAGAAAAAAAAAAGGGGAAAAAAAAGAAGGGGAGGGTGGCAAGGGTGTGTGATGGGCAGTTTACACAAGGAAAGAACAAGACTGGTTCTCAGGGGCATGAAGAAGAGGGTCTGTCCACAACTACACAAGATGAAGGGGTACCGGTCTGGCACCCAGGCTGGCCAGAAAAGGTTCCAAGTCAGCGTGCCCCCTCCCCACTGCTGCACAGCCTGCTTGTTCCCAGCAGAACCCAGCACCTTCAAAATGCAGCACAAAGGCAGCAGCTGTGGGGCAGATAAAGGGAGACTGATCTGGCTCGATGGGGCCTACCTGCTCTTTGTCACAGCTGCGTGTACAGGGCCCAATGCCCCGGAAGACCAGGGCAACCAAACAGCACCTGCCCGAGAGCACGGCTTCCGCAGCTGCCAGCAGCAGGGAAGGGAACCAGAGGGCCAGGGCTGTGTCCTGTGGAGCAGGGTGTCATCAGAACGAGGGCACCACACCAGGCTGCCTGCATGCCAGGCAGCACAGGAGAGAAGAGGGAGAAATAAAATGAGAAGAAGCAGCAAGAGAAAGAGGCTGGATGGGAGGAGCGGGGTGTGTGGCAGCCCACAGACTCACATAGATGCGAGTGGTGTTGAAGGGACAGTCGTTGGTTGCGATGGCTGTGCGGGCGTCCGCAGGCAGCGCAGAACTGTTGCAGCCTCTGACCAGGTGTGTGCCCCGGCCGTGCACCGTGAGGGCAATGGCCAGTGCCAGCCCCACGCTACACGCGGTGGACAGGAGGCAGTTCAGCAGGGACACGCTCAGGAGGGTCCAGTGCTGCGGGCAGCAAGAACACCCGACTGGGGCTCGCCCAAGCTGGGGCAAATGCCAGGGCCGGGCACCCCCATCTCTGCAGAGCTGCTCCACAGGGTCACGGGCGTGCTGGGAACCCAGCAGACATTAGCTCCGAGAGAGCGCACACCATCCCTCTTGCCTCTTCCAGGACGGCTCATTGCCCGCGGATGAGCGTCTCTCACCTTTCACATCCTTCAGACCCTGTGAGCTCGGCGCCACCGGACGCCCCCTCCCACGGGCTCCGAGGGGGGCCCCGCACAGGCCCCGCTCGGCAGAGCGCTGGGACCCCTCCGCCGCAGCCCAACCCCGCGCCCCCCGCTCCGTGTCCGGCCACCCTGCGAGCCCATGACGGACCCCGACGCGGCTGCAGCTTCACCCACCGAGGCGCTCCTGCCCGAGGACGGTGCCCCCGCTTCTCCCGCCCTCCCCGGGCCGCCGGCGGGGCCGAGCCTGGCAGAGGCGACGCCCGCAGCCCCGGCAGCCGCCGCCGCCGAGGCGGAAGGAGCCCGCGGGGCCAAGGTCCAGGGGAGCGGCTGCCGACGAGGCAGGGCCGCGCCGAGGTCCCCAGCCCGCTCGGCCCCCCAGCCCCGCACTCACCAGGGCCGCCCGGGACAGGTTGTGCGACACCAGGATGGCGACGATGCCCGCGGCGATGCTCTGCGGGGAGACGCGCGCTCAACAGGGGCCGGGCAGGGCTCGCCGCCCCCCGCCCGGCCCGGCCGCGCTCACCAGCAGTCCCGAGCACACCGACACCACGTTGGCCGCCGCGTACTCGGGGGTGACGGCGCGGCGGGCGCCGGCCACGTGCCGCAGGACCGAGCCGTGCACGATGGCGCCCAGCACCAGGCTGCCGTGGCCCAGCACGATCAGCCCCAGCCCCGAGCGCATCAGGCGCCGCGGCTCCGCCAACACCCCCGGCCCCCGCCGTCCCCCGGCCATGGCCGCCGCCACCGCCGCCCTCGCGCCGCCCCGGGGCAGGGACGGGCGGCCCCGGCCCGCCCCGCCCGGAAAGAGGCGGCACTCGCGTATTTACAAAACAGTTTATTAAAAATAGGAAATGATAGAAATGAGATGCAGGAGCCGCCCTTCAGCCCCGCCACGCGCCGGGACGGGACGGGGCGACGAGGCTTTTGCAGCCCCCGCAGCCCCGGGAGCCCGCGGGGAGAGGGGGGAGGGCTGCAAGGGCCACGGGGCCGTCGCCCGGGGCCGACTCACGCCGCGGCCCGGGGCGGGCGCGAACCAGTAAACAAAGTGCAGCCGGGGCCGGGAGCGAAGCGCCGGGCAGCGTGGGGAGCCCAGCCACCCCCGGGCCCCGCGGCCCGGAAACGGGGAGAGTGACGGGGGGAGCAGAGGGGTGTGGGGCATAGGGGCTCACCCCTGCTTACCTTTAAATTAAAAAAAGGGGGAAAAAAACGGAAAAAAAAGAAAAAAAATGGAAAAAAAACCCCACAACAAAACAAAACAAAAAAACCCCCAAAACATTTCGGTGCTGTGCAAAAGACACTTTGTACAATTCAAACAGAACAAACTCCATGCACATGAGTGGGGCTGCAGAACACCCCGAGCCAGACCTCAGCTCTGCAGCATGATCTGGGCAAAATCCCAACAAAAACAGGGCTGGAAATAATACTGATGCGCAAAGTCCCCTTTAGAGGCGGGCAGGGAGGACTGTCACTGAGCCCAGCCACGGCACATGCAGGATGAGCTTCCAAGCACTGCAGCTGGGGTCTTGCGGATGCCCGACAGCGGTGGGCAGACACAGAGGGGTCGCAGGCAGCGAGGCCGCGCTGGCCGCCCGGGAGCCGTGGGGCTAAGATGACACAGTCACTGCCGTCAGGGATCCGTTCCGAGTGTAGTAGAACTTGCTAAACGCTTCTTCAAGTAAACAGGTGAGTCTGCTCTGGTCAGCCTGGGAAGAACAAGGACAAGGAGTAGGCCCAGTCCACTGCAAGCTGAGAGCTTGGCTGGAGCCCCCCAGGGCAGGGACATTGCTTATTCCTCCTGCCTCCCCCTCAGAAAAGGATTGATCTGGCATAAATCATTGAACTTTGAGAAATGAATACAGGCCTATAGCTCTATCTGAGCCCCTGCTTACCTCGCTGATGAATCCAAGCTGGACCAGTTCAGCCGCCAGCTCCTGGATGTTGTCATCTGCAACACAAGGAAGGGTGTCAGTCCTTGGTCCGAGCACACTGCTGGCCCCAGAGCACCTCACCATGGTCAGAAGGCTATTTACTGGGCTAAGGTACTTACTGGGCTGCAGGTCACAGCTCAAGTGTCGATTCAACTTGTCTTCCAGTTTCAGCAGCAGTGTCAGCTGCAGAGCACAGAAGTTCTCATGAAGGACTGCAGTCCTGCAGGCTGCCACAGCCAGCCCAAAGCATCCCCAGAAATGCCCCCCAGGATGGGATCCACCCCTCCAGAGCCCCACGGAGGGCTGACAGAGCAGCCTCAGCCAGTTTCGTCCTGAACCACAGCTGGCAGCACCATCCCACACAGGAAACCTGGGCCTGGGGGTGGGCTGAAGTCACAGGTCAGTGGCAGGCACAGCCCGAGTCAGGTTCTGGGTCCCAGCAGTGGCAGCTGCGGCAGCACAGGGTCCTCCCAGGTACCAGCAGCACATCAGAGCCATGAGCTCTGCACCGCTGCCCTGGTCCCCCCCCAGCTCAGCTAGAAGTGGGAACATACGTGGTGCTTCACCCCCTCCTCCACGGACTCAATGTTGCACTGCATCAGCACCACCTGGAACAGAGGCACAGACGCAGTGAGTGGCTGCCTGGCTCCCGTGCCTGGGGATGGGCCGGGGAATGGAGCCCCCAGCACTCACCTTGCGCGTCTCCACCTCGGCGGGCTCTGGGGTTGGGGTTTTCACTGATGGGGGAGCAATGGGAGATTTCGCCACAACCTGCTGAGGCTGCTGGGGCCGCGGCATCCCAAAAGCCGTGAGGGGGTAGATTCCATTCCTACAAGAAAGGAGCAGGGTCTGAGGTTATGGCTCTCTGAAATTTTTCCAGTCACACACAGTTAAAGGTGCCCTTTAAAAAAACCCTCTTACCTCACATCCTCCAGGAACTTGTCCAGCTCCAACGCCGGAGATTGTGAGAAGCTGCAAAACAAAACAAAACATCCTGAGAAGTTATCATAGAATCATAGAATTAACTGGGTTGGAAGAGACCTCCGAGATCATCAAGTCCAACCCTTGATCCAACCCCACTGTGATTACCAGATCATGGCACTCAGTGCCCCATCCAGCCTCATCTTAAAAACCTCCAGGGATGGTGAATCCACCACCTCTCTGGGCAGGCCATTCCAATGCCCGATCACTCTCTCTGTAAAGAACTTCTTTCTAATATCCAACCTAAACCTCCCATGGCAGAGCTTAAGCCTGTGCCCTCTTGTCCTACTGCTGATTGCCTGGGAGAAGAGACCGACCCCCACCCGGCTACAACCTCCTCTCAGGGAGTTGTAGAGAATGATGAGGTCACCTCTGAGCCTCCTCTTCTCCAGACTAAACAACCCCAGCTCCCTCAGCCTCTCCTCATAGGACTTGTGCTCGAGTCCCTTCCCCAGCCTCGTTGCTCTTCTCTGGACCTGCTCCAGCACCTCAATATCCTTCCTGAACTGAGGGGCCCAGAACTGAACACAATACTCAAGGTGTGGCCTCATCAGCGCTGATGTTATCTCACAATAACATCCACTCAGGTCTCTTGGGGTGCAGTTCCAAATCCCCATGTCCTGGGCTGTGTCTGTGGGCAGGATGGGTACGGACAGAGGCAGCCACACAATGGGACAGGCTCCAATCTTACCATAAGGACACAACTACCCATAGGAGCTAAAGACGAGGCGTTGGTTAGGGCAGAGCGGTCTCACTTCCTTGCAGAGCTGTCCAATGCACAGTTATTTGGAAGATGGCTTAGTGACACTGTTCCTGGCGAGGTGTTTCACAGACACCTGCCACACAGGCCCCTGGTTGCAATAAATACTTTGAATAGCCAAACCCCTGCCTCAAGGCTGCTCTGAAGCATTCCAGAGATGAGGCAGGGACTGCAAAGCTGCTCAAACACTGGCAGGATATCCACAGGCGCTTTGCTGTCCCACAGGTCTGGTGTGGGCTGCATACCTGTCTTGGCTCCCTGACCACTCTCCAGCCCTTCCCACACCCCCAGCAGCTGGGATTGTCCCATCCTCTAACATAGCAGTAGTTTTCAACAAAAGTTTTTTTCTGGCAGCTTGGGTTGCATGGCAGTCTGATGAACCACTCAGAAGTGATGCTCTCTGACATTTCAAGTCGTTGTGCTTCCTTTCCCTTTTCCAGCATCTCGGAGGTATGGCACTACCAAAAGCAAGTCCCAGGCTTGTCTACAGACAGCCAAACACACACAGACTGACATCCCATGTATGTAAAGGATCTCTCTTGCACAGCTTTGGTTGTTCATTTGTTGTCCTCCATTCTGAACCTTTATCAAAAACATTCCAAAGGGAATTCCATACTATGATTTCCTAGCACTACGACAACTGAAAGGTCAGTTTTTAGAAGGATCTCTACGGCTCAGAGAGGTGCTCAAACAGACAGAGCCGTTCTTCCTTGTCACCTCGGTTACTCTTGTTCAGCAGCTTAAGCATCCCAGAACTCTGGGCTCCCGTGGAAGTAGCCTGGGCTTTTCTTGGGAACACAGCACTCACATCTGAGCCTTTTCAGATAATCCCTCAACTTTGGGCTTTGTTGCCTAACAAAGGCAACATTGAGGTTTTGTTATCTAAAATCACTTTTTGGCACCCTACTGGCTCCATATGCACTGCAGTCACTTCCTCAGAGAGCCACCCCTACAGTGTAAGTGGTGCTGTGTGTCACTGACAGCTGCCCAAACTGTCTTTCCCTGTGCAGAGTGTGGAATAGGTTGCTCTGTTAGGAAAAAGCAGAGGAGCTCTTCCTCCAAGGTATTAAGACTTCATCTGACAAGGCTGTGATTGGTCTGAGCACCTTCCCCAACGGTTCAGCCGTGTTTCACTGAGGACTGTTCCAACTGCAGCATATTCACTTCCCACCCCTCCACTTGGGAAAAGATTCACACCTCAGCTGCATGGAATCTGCTCCCAGGACACAGGTGCAAGGTCTCCTCCCACCCAGGAGTCTCCCCAGAACTGTGTGTGCCCAGAGAGGCAGAGACTGCTCCTTCACCTCCAGCTCCCATTGGCTCCCTCAGTGGTGAAACACCACCCCTGAAGTGATGGGCAGAGTCCCAGGCAGACCCAGTGGGCTCAGCCCAGTGCCCCAGCAGTGCTGCCCTCAGCAGCCCCCAGAGCACAGCACAGGGACTCACATCATCTTGACTCCTTCCCTGTCCTCATGATTGATCTCTGCCAACACCGCGTTCATGTCGAGGTTTTTGGTCATTTCTTCTAAAGCATTTTCAGGAATCATATCTATTTTTTTTTAAAAAAGGAAAAAGAACAATTGCACTTCTGTTCCAGACTCAGAAAAGTAATGAAAAGCAGAGAGGTCTTGAGCTCTCTGATGCTCCTGGAGCAGGCTGGGCACCACAGTCCTCCCGGCCCTGCAGTGGCCACCACCGCACCCCACGGCTGGGTCCCTGCCCATGCAGAGCAGCAGGGAGGTGGGTTCCCAGCTGCACTGACAGCTTGGCAAAGCTCTGCAGGACACAGACTGATGAGGGGATGTGGCTCCCAGCGCTCTGTACTCACGCTGGTGCCCGATGATGCAGTGAGCAGCTAACAGCTTCAGCGACGGCACCTCGAACAGCGCCTGGTGGAACAGGAGCTCTCGGGCTGTGGGGCGCCTGCCAGGGTCCTGTTCCAGACACTTCTGAATGAACTCCTAAAGACAAAACCAGCATGAGACCACAAGCAATGCCTCCAGAGCAATGCAGGGCACCGACCCCCCTC